TTAATGTCATATTTTCAGTTTTCTTCATATTATTAGAAATCCTTCATAAACATAATGTTCGAACCCTGAACCAGTGATACAAATTAGACTTTTACCTCATTTTAAGTTATTTCCAACTTCTTATTGTCATTTATAACATTGTAGTGAATGTTTTAGTTTATAAATCATAAGTAATTATTGAGTCAAAGGTATGTACATTTTTAGGCTTGTGCTATTTATAAACTGTCCATAGAACAATTATATCAGTGTGTATTTTTATCACCAGTTTTTAAAATCTCTCATTTTTTGCCTGAATTTAGTTATATCTTTTATAAAACTCTTTGCCAAAGTCAAGTATTTTAAAAATGTGTCTTTATTTTTACTTGCATGTCATGAGAATTTCCATCTTTTGTCTAGTTTTGAGAGAAGAGTACTGAGCTGCAGTGAGATAATCTTAGAAGAAGTTAGTTTAACCATTAAAAATGATACATGAATACCCTAAACATTTATTTTAAACTTGAAATAAAGATCTGTATATTTCTTTGATTCCAAGTCAGGGTCTTTTCTTCGAGAATATGGGTTTGCTGTTTGGAGTGGAGTGTCATATTTCTGGCATTAACCATACCCATGCTCTATCATTTGTAAGGTCCAATTTCAGTCTCTCTATAAGTGAGGAGGATAACATTTGAAGAAAGTGGAATGTAGAATCCTAGACTTTTTAAATGCCATTTTAAAAATTGAAGTATAGTTGATTTACAATGTTGTGGTAGTTTCAGATGTATAGCGAAGTGTTCAGTTATATTCTTTTTCAGATTCTTTTCCGTTACAGGTTATTACAAGGTATTGAATATAGTTCCCTGAGCGCTACAGTCAGTCCTTGTTTATTTTATATATTAGTACTGTATATCTGTTAATCCCAAACTCCTAATTTATCCCTCCCCACCGCTTTCCCCTTTAGTAACCATAAGTTTGTTTTCTATGTCTGTGAGTTCGTTTCTGTTTTGTAAATAAGTTCATTTGTATCATTTTTTTAGGTTCCACATATAAATGATATCATATGATATTTGGCTTTCTCTGTCTGACTTACTTCACTTAGTATGATAATCTCTAAGTCCATCCATGTTGCTGCAAATGGCATTATTTCTTTCTTTTTATGGCTGAGTGATAGTCCATTGTGTGTGTGTGTGTGTGTGTGTGTGTGTGTATATATGCCACATCTTCTTTATCCATTTATCTGTTGATGGACACTTAGGTTGCTTCCATGTCTTGGCTATTGTAAATAGTGTTGCTGTGAACATTGGAGTGCATATATCTTTTCGAATTAATATTTTCATCTTTTCTGGATGTATGCCCAGGAGTGGGTTTGTTAGATCATATAGTAACTCTATTTTTAGTTTTTTAGGGAACGTCCATACTGTTCTCCATAGTGGCTGTACCAATTTATATCCCCACCAACAATGTAGGAGGATTCCCTCTTCTCCACACCTTCTTCAGCATTTATTATTTGTAGACTTTTTAATGATGGTCATTCTGACCAGTGTGAGGTGTTAGACTTTTATACTTTATATTTTCTAATATTTTGCATGTGTCTCACCTACATCAAAATTGACAGCAGTTGTTAAGTAATTCATCTTTATTGACTGCTTTGGAAGCATTCAACTTAATTTTCATGGAAGCAACAACTCATGGAGCAACAGTTATCTCTTACACTCATTTTTTGTTATTTAGTAGAACATGTCATCATAATTACAAGTTCCATTGATATAAGCAGGCTTAGGAGCAAACTTGTTTGATTCTTGGTGAACATACATTTTTATTGGTGGAAGTAGAAATGGAAGGTTGTACTAGATAGAGTGTAACCTAACAGCCAAGAGCATTCAGGGTATTTTACAGAGGGAGCTGGGATCATTGCTTAATCTAACAAGTCATTGAAATGGAAGTTGTTGTTTAACAGACTTTCAGTTCTAATACTCTCTGAAATCAGAATTTACTCGTAATGGGGGTAGAAATTAATCTTAAATCCTATTTATATCTTGCCCTCTCTTCTTTCCTCTCTTGAATAATTATTTACTATATGCCTTGTGCTGTGCTAGGTGTAGAGAATAAAGAGATGAACAATATACAGTTTCTATTCTCAAGGAGCTGAAATCCAAAGAGGGAGACACTGTATGGTTCTATCATTGTCAGTTTTCTGCTTTAAGAACTAGCCCAGAAATGTGACCTATACAGATGTGGAGGACAGAGTAGGGTTACTCCACTCAATCTGTCAGGAAAATTTTCCGAGTGAGGCTTGACCTTAAAGGATGGATGGGAATTAACTAGGATCTCAGAATAGGGATGTGCATTTCAGGTAGTGAGGAGAGTATGGGCACACCTTTTACAAGCAAGATTAGCAATCCTCTGAATGTCTGCTGACCTGTTCAGAATTGCCTTATAATTATATGTGTGTATATTCTTTCATTCATTTCTTCATAAGTGAAACTCTCACCCTGGTTTTCCCCATGCTTTGTGATAGTGATTATTATTCTTGAAAATAACCACTTACCTATAAGCAGCAGAAATGGATGAATGTAAAGCAAAGTCTTGTATTCCATCTTCTCTGTTTTTCCCCACTCTCCCTAGAAATGTTATTAATTAACATTTCAGGGAAGTACAGTAATGACCACCATTTGTTGAACACTTATGCTAGACACTTACGTAATGTTTTATACATATTTTCTCACTTATTTTAATCCATATAGCCACCCTGTCAGGTAAGAATTAGGATTTCCATGTGTAGATGAGGAAACTGAACCTTGGGAAAGTTAAGTAAATTGCCAAAAGCTTCACTGTTGGAATTGACGAACCAGAATTTGAAGCCATGTTTCTCTAACTCAGAAAGCCTGTCTCTTAACCATTGTACCAAGATATGTGATTGTGAGGACTTGCTGTAAATCATGGAAGAAGGTTCGGATACTTTTTTCCATACAGTTCTCCTAGATAATTATGTTTTAAAATCCAAAGATAATTTAAAAATTGTGTTGAGGTTTAATTATGTCATTGATAGTTAATGTAACTCATATTAAATTTAAATTATATGAATTTTTCTCACTAGATTATAGTTCCCATGAGACATGCCAGTCTAGTAAACTGCAGAGGTTTATGTCCCCTCCTTCCACCACTTGCCCCGCTTCTCTTTCATTAGATGATTAGCGCCCTTACCAATACTGCAAATTCTTAACAGTCTGCTAAAAATGCCTTTTTTATCCAACCTCCGGTGTACTGAATATAATCTGTTACAAATCACCTTCTTGGCTGCCAGGGCCCTTTATAGGCCTGTGCCCTGGCAATCTCCCTTACCTCTGTTGCATTCCCAGCCCCTCAGCCCCACACCACTGCCACCTCCACATCCCCTGCCCAAGACACACACGTATACATCCCCGTACTCTAGTTTCACAGAACTCAGAATTCCTCAAACCTACATTTTTTTAAACTGCTGTGCCTTTGCTCTTGCTACTCCAGTGCTCTTCCCATTTATCTTCTGTTGGCCTGGGAAAATCCTGCTTATCCCTCAAGTGACAGTATATATGTCACCTTCTCTGTAAAGCCTTCTCCTCCTTCTCCAGGAGAGGCAGTGTTTAGCACTTCCTCAGCATTCAGTTTATGTCTTTGGTAGCACCCTTAAGACATTTAGTCATAGTTCATTTTCTGTCTGTTTCCCCTGCTCCGGAATGGGAGCTCCTAGAAGGATAGATCATTATGGGTTTTTTATCTTTTACCCTCAGCACCCGCATGTAATAGCTTCTTAATGAATCATACTGAATTGTTAGTGATATTGATAATAACCTTTATTAAGTGCATTCTGTATCTTAGGCACTGTGCTTGACGTTTGTACACATTATTTCACTTAATCCTCATACTCATCCTGTGTTATAGGGACAATTTTTACCCCTATTTTACAAATTAGAAAACTGTAGTTAAGAGAGGCAAAATAATTTGACCAGGGTAACACAACAAGCAATAATGGAGTCAAGATTTGAATCCAGTGTCTGACTCCAGAGCTCATTCTCCTTTATACCTTACCTATAGAATCATCCAATCAGTCCATCCATCAATCAAATAAGTTGTCTGGGGAGTTATCTCCAACTAGGAGATACAGTCTATTGAAACCAATCCTGAATGACTAAAGAGGAGGATGTAAAAGATGCTCTGTCCCCAAAAGGATGAGTGAGGTCCCTTGGAAAAGGCTTGAGTGTCATTTGAAAAATCTGGTTTGGTCCGAAAAAGAGGCTCAAAGAAATCTGCTGTGATCACTGATAAAGTTAGGCTCACAGAATACAGTACCTGGTAAAATTGCCCTCACACATTGTTTTTGTAAAGAGTGAATGAGAAAAAGAAAAAAGTCATTGTTTGGCTGAAGAATGATGTGGATCATCAAATGTCAGAACTGTCCTTTTACAAAGGAGAAGACCAAGGTCCAGATTAATTAATTAATCGGCTTGCCCAAGAGCACATAGCTAATAAATAATGGAGCTTGGAGTAGAATTCCAATTTCCTGAGTCCCAGTTCGGAGCCTTTTGCACCATAGTGTGCTCTACATTAGAGTTTTTCTGCGTTCTTGTTTGGAGGAAAAAAATGCTAGGCCAAGGCAGAGGTGAGTCTTTTAGGGAAACAGCTTGATGCTTTTGGAGCTGGTCAGCTTTTGCTTAAGACCTGCTGCTATTTTGGGCTGTCAGTTTGCTCAGAACTAAATAGTGCCAGCCATACAAATAAAAAGGCAAGGCTATTATTTAGGCCTCCTAGGTCTATGCATTCACTTCTCTGCTTACAAGGGCAAATTATTAGTTCATCTCTGCTGGGCGGTTTGAACATTGGGTTATATTAGCCCTTGTCTTAGCCCTTAGATGTCTACTGGCTTGTCTCTGTTACAATAAATGTACAAGCCTTGCTTTCGGGTTGGGAGGGAAGAGGGAAAAGAAAGAAATCTAAATCAGTCTCTACTGATCCTGATTTCTTATGCTGTTTCTTTCTCTTTCTTTCAGGGCGACGAGGAAGGACCCAGGTAAGATCACATCATTGTTGTTTGTCTGTTCTCAGACTTGAAGTAGAGTGACATTTGTGGCCTTCTAATGCCCCGTGAAATATGACCAGCCAAGGAACAGCACAGAAAAGGGATCTCCATCTTATTCCAGGGCTTTGAAGATCTTATTTTGTAAGATTCCCATCTCCCTCCCCATCTATGCCATTTCCTGTCTGTAACCTTCAGATAAAGATAGTCTTTAAAGTATGTAATGACAGTAACTTTGCTTTATTCTGTAGCACCTTCAGAATACCTTGTTGAGACAAGTAGGTACTATATTTGAATGGTAATTAGGTATCAGGTAGACTGAATAGGTAAACTTTTGCATTGTTCTTTCTTGATTAGAATTGGATTGCCTTTTTTTTTTTTCTTTTAGTGGACTCTGGTTTTAATATTCTTTATTTCTGACCTGTAACATCTTTGGGTCTGACTCAAGACACACCTATACAGTGAATCTGAGGTCATAGGTATACAAAACTTTGTTTAGGAAAAAAAAAAAATGTTTCTTTGTGCTTCTGTTTCACCACATGAAATTTAAAAGTGCATTTTATCATTGCCTCAGGCTTGTAGTGAACCTGGACTTTAGTTTACTTACCTTTGCTGTCTTTCTGCTCAGGCAGTGAGAACAAGCTCTAGGAAATGCTATAGCTATGCTGTGAACACAATCAAGGGGCATTTGTACAAAGTAAAATGCAGTGTCCAGTTGGGTCCCCTCTGTCATGTAGGATCCAGGACTGTTAAGTCTGGGAGGTATCAGAACATTCATCCAGGCCACAGCTATTCAAACTTTAGTTTTAGTAGAAACACCTTTTTTTCAAATGGGCTTTAAGTAGAACTCCAATGTATGCAAAACATTTTTTTTGTTTGGTTAAAGTTGGGGCCACATCTACTGGTGAAACTTCTCTCTTCCTTCCAATAGACCCTGAGGGGCTGCTGCAGAAACCTAGGGTTCCTGAGAACTCAGTTTGAAAATCACTTATCTAGGGCTTCCCTGGTGGCGCAGTAGTTGAGAGTCCGCCTGCCGATGCAGGGGACGCGGGTTCGTGACCCGGTCCGGGAAGATCCCACATGCTGCGGAGCGGCTGGGCCCGTGAGCCATGGCCACTGAGCCTGCGCGTCCGGAGCCTGTGCTCCGCAACGGGAGAGGCCACAACAGTGAGAGGCCTGTGTACCGCAAAAAAAAAAAAAAAAGAAAATCACTTATCTAATTCAAGCTTCTCATTGAAAGAAGCTTAATGAGTTGTCCAAGGTTACCTTACTGGAGCCAGGATTTGGCCCTTTGGTTTTATTTACAAATCAACAAATACAGTTTCTTCTTTTTCCTTTCTCCCTCCCCACATCCTGAGCCTCTCTCTTAGTGCCAAATGTTATTCCACATCTTCATCTCCTGCTGCTTCCTTCCCTTGAGAACTGTAGTTCTCAGCCTAGATCTTGTTCCTTGTCCTCTGTGGCTAAAGCTACAGGCATCCCGCTTTAAACCTGCAGAGCTTCAGGGAATCCCTTTAAATTCCATCCTCCCCCCATTCTCAGGAACAGGCTCCCTTTATGTTGTGGTTCATTTCTTTCCTCCCTTCCTCCCTTTCTCATGACCCAGTGTATAGGCCCTGTGCTATATACTGGGCATATAATGAAAATTAAGACAGACATGGTCCCTGCCTTGTGGATCCTAAGTCTAGTAGGAGAGACAGGCATATAACTGGGCACTTCTACTTTGGGGGAAGTACTATGATTAAGTGAAGTTTAGGCTGCTTTAGGAAGGGAAGCTCACCAGAAAAGGTTATGTGTAAACGGAGGTCTGAAGGATGAGAAGGCAGACAAAGGAGAGGCAGAGATAGAGCTGTCCTATGGATAGGAAACAACTTGTGTAATAGCTCCAGACAAGAGAAGAGCGGAGGAAAGAAAGCAGAGTCCAGATCACTGAGGGCCTTACAGGCCTCCTTCAGGTATCTGAGCTCTCTCCCGCAGAGTGTTGGGAGGGCATTAAATAATTTAAAACATGGATTAACCTGAGTAGATTTGCATTTAGGAAGTCTCCTCTGCCTGCAGGATGGAAAATGAATTGGAGGTGGGTCAGAGCCTGGGAGACTAGTTAGATTAGGCTAGTGATGGGAGCTTATATCAACATCTTCTCTAGCTATTGACCAAGTTCTCACCATTTTACACAGACCTTTGGTTTAGATAAACTCTTTAAATTATCTCCTTGGCACTCTGCCTCTTCGCTCAAAACTAGCTCTAGCTCCAGCTCCTTAAAATCCAGACCAAGCAGAGCCCTAGACCTTTTCTTCCTCAGAAAGAGAGTTCAAACAAGACCAGTATAAAGAAAACACCTTAGCAGATGTAGGGAGCAGACTCCACAGGATAGAAATGGCATTTCTGTCTTGGGAGAGCCTGATAAGGATGGACACGTTCATCTTGTCTTTATGGCTACATGCCAGAGTCATGTTGATTAGAAGAATACAGGGACCTTGTGAAGAGATTAACTCCCTTCAAAGATACTATTCAGTGTGAGACACTGGCTTCAGAGTTTAATTGCAGATTCCTTCTTGTCATTTTGACAAGATTGTGGTGAAGTATAGAGTTTCTTTACTAGCAACCAAGATGTCACGCTGTCTCCCTCGAGCCAGGCTGCCTTGGATGTCAGTAGGGATTCTCTTGGACTGGGACTTTATTGGTAAAATGAGCACTTGAAAAAAATCATGTTCCAATTTGGCAGAAAGAGGAAAGATGAGTCAAATTTTCCTTTTACCCTTTAAGTTCATACTTGTTGGTTCCATTCAGTTTGTGCTGAACTACCATTTGGCTCAGTTTCTTCCAATAACACTTCAGGGCAGATTGCCTTTGATCTGAAATTTCTCTCATTTATGATATTCACTTTACTGTCTCAGTAAGCCAGAGTTTTGTTCCAAAGGCTTTTGTATTGCTGATGGTGTTAAATGAGAGTTTGATGTGTAAGGAAGACAGGAGTGTGGGTCTGCCTGCACAGGGGATGGAAGAGAAATGAATCTGGAGACCCTGCGTTCCAGGTCTGCTTGGATTTTCATGCCTGTGTCTCCTTTGCTAGTATTCTTTCCACACAGCCACTTCCCTGCTGTCTGCACAGAAGTCCAGGGAGAATTGAATTCCGGCCGCTCTCCATGGTGGTCAGAACAAAGGAAAATTCCTGTCCTTTTGAAAATTATTTGTCTATAATAGATCTGTATTTTTCTCCATTCTACCAGCTAGAGTCTCCCTGCCTTTTTTTTTTGTTTTCAGTTTTGACTTCCCAAGCTGTTTGACGTGAGGTGGCCAAGTATTTGTGCTTTTGGTCATGTCTGTGCCTTGTTCTGATTTTTATTGTGTATTTGTCCTATAATTAACAACAATAATAGGCAAAGCTACTGTTTAAGTTTTACTACGTACAGTGTTTTATATATATTCTCTTTTAACCCTCATGTAAAGCTAATGATGTAGTTATTATTCTACTTGTAAAATGAGGAAATGAATGCCCAGAAAGATTAACTTGCCCTAGATCACACAGCTAGTAGAAGCAGAGCTAGGACTTGAATCTAGTCTGGCTTCAGAGCTCATGCCTTCAACCACCTGTCTCTGAGAGGCCAGCACACTTCTCTCTGTGACCCTGAATGAATAAGAGGATTCACGCCCACTTGTCAGCGCATCACTTTGGTCTTGTTCCTCTCACCTAGGAGTTCTTCTGGCTTTGACGCTGAAATGATGGCGTCTGTTTGCTGCACGCTACCTCTCCTCTCCTTAGCCTCTGTCATTATGAGGGGATATTTCTTCATCTCATCCTCACACAGTGTCCCCTGAGGGTCAGCAGCAAAAGGGGTGCTTTTAGACTCCCGGGGGAACAGGTAAGCAAGCCTTCCTTTGACCCTGCAGAATTAGCTGCCAGTTGCCCCTCCATCCAGTAGTTGCTCTTCACACCTATGATACAGTCGTGCAGATGACAAGGTTTCTTGGAGCGTATGGAGGAGCAAAAGTCCTAATATGTGGAACGTGGATATTAACCACTGTAGAGTCACCTTTGAAGAGGGTGTCTTTGAAGCCCAGAGTGATTCTTTTTTTCCAAGCAAAAAAAAAGCAGTTTACACTTTTGGCAGCAATTTTCTGTCTCCTCGTGCTATTATGGGAGATGTTGTGTTTGCGCCCTCGCAGATTGGCTCCTTCTGTGCTCCTGCCGAAGCCTGCTGAGAAGTAATGTATGTTCACGGAGAGGGGGTGGCAGTGGGCTCTGCTGCCTTAGAGCTGTTGTGTAGTGGAAGGAAGTCAGAGAGGGAAGGACCCTTAAACTCTTGTGCTCAGAGGACAGAGGAGCAAGGTCTGTTTTAAATTTTGATTTGCGATTGAGATTTTCTGTGAATTTTTTTTAACTAAGAAGAAAAAGGCTTTTTAACAGTAACAGCCATACTTAAGATTTTGGTAGAACTTTTCATCTTTAGAGCTGGCTCTTATTCAGGCAAAAAGCTCCTGCTGAGATCAGTGTGAATCTGACCCATGCTGATTCTCTGATCAAATGGGCAATGAGTTCTGAAGGAATAGGAGCTCAAGGAGAGTCAGCAGACCTACCTTCTATCCTTGGTTTACCTGGGACCAACGGTGTGACCTTGGGCAAGTCCTTTAACCTCCTTGCTTCTTTGTAGTCTGTTTTTACTTCCCTGTAAATACTAGCCTTTCTTTCCCCCACTCTGCACCCAGTTTTTTGGGATATAAATACAGTCGAGGAATACAGTCATATATTAAATATGTGGAGGCATACAGTCATATATTAAATATGAAATGAAAAGAATCTGCTTATAGGTTCTGTAATTTGGTAGATTTTTTGTACATTTCTCAATTTTGTTTCTTTAAACATTTTCTTGGGGCTATATACTAGGTACTCTTTTTTCCCCCCTCTAAAATAGCAATCATACGTATGTTCTTAGATATGACATTTCTCTTCCTGATGACTTAGTTTGTAGAGATAAGAGGGGTCTAAGTCAGTG